AGCCACGAAATCATTTCTAGCGTCCTCAAAATTCCACAGTACACCGCATCATCTGGGAAAAAAGCATGCACATAAGTAGGTCTTTGCGATGGGGGAGGTGTTCCCTTCTTGTTTTGTGTGAAACCTGTCTATGCGAGTATGCCAACCCGCACCATCTAGGCCATTCGTGGGGAAACGGGTGGAGAACTGATGCACAAAGTACCAAATGCTACACGTCCTTCGGAATATGCTTGCCCACAAAATCGGTGTTACATGTTGTAGAAAACTGAAGTTTTTGGAGTCTTGCAATTGCGTTGTCTACTTATTCAAACCAACCGGGTGCCAATTTGCACCGCCCCATATCACGCAAGCCTATTCTTCGAAGGAATCGATGAAAATTGCATGGGAAATTAATTTGAGTCGTACTGTAAAACTTAAAGTGTTAGATTCAGTGGCTGGGAACCCTTAACTCAAGAAGAGATAGTAATCAGTACAATGTTATTACCTGTGATGACAGACCTAGAACCCTATTCTGTCTTGTGGTAGAAAGCCCAAGACTTAGCCGTTTTATTCACTTTTTCAGTTCACCCATTCGAAGCTAGATATCACTCTTCGTCTGTGATGTATACCATAAAGGGCGAATTGCTATACTGCTCATAATACTGATCTTGATTTCTAGGAACTTGTTTTCACATTTAATAGAATGATAACAACAAACCATTTACGCCGATAGTAAGGACCATGTCCTAGAAGTGTTGTAACCCGGAAGGCTCATGGGGAACCAACAAAATTTACCCCCTCCATAAGGTGGGGGGAGTTGAGTTCCGCCTCGTGTGTGGTCACCTATTGGGACACGGCGGTGTGATAGGCTGACCCGGTCGACCGCTCGCGATGCTCGCACCGTCCGACCGTTGCTCGATCCTCAGAAAATCCTAATAAACCACTTTGTGTATGTTACGGCTCGATATGCGTTGCAGAGTACCATTAAAACAGTTGCCTACGCACATACTACCATATATTCGCTGCGCGAATGGTTTTCTTCAACGGCGCGGACATCTTCGATCTGCGGCCTACCGTTGGACAGTTTGTATGAGAAGATCTGGTTTGCTCCCGCTGTGGTTTTGCCGCTTTGGGTTTGACATGTAGGATAGTAGAAGCGGGATGCCCTTGCGCGGGGTGTCACCTAGCGAGCAACCCAAGTGTTAATCTCAGAATTGCACAGTGCCCCGCCTGCAACTATAGGTGCAACATGTGTAATCTGCCTGACACACCCAACCTCCACAACTACGGAGGAGGTGTACCGGAATCTGGCCGGCAGCCCTCCCGGGATACCCGGTGTGCGCCCGGTGTGGTCAGACTCCCCTAAATCCGTAGTAGTTCGGGGCGAGTATGCCACAGTCAGCACTGTCACCCGTCACCGTGGTCACCGCTCGGGTTTATTAGGTTCGAGGTACTCAATATCCGATATCACTTAATATTCAGTTTTAGCAACACCGAAGCTACGCGCCAGCTATGTTTGCCCACAATTTAGGATATCGATAGTCCGAGAATATCCAAGTATCCCTCACGGTGCTGAACTGGACTCGCAGACGGAACCTGCGCTCCGTATGACACGCTAGCTGCGTGGTGGCCCATCGCTTTTGTCGCAAGGTCTACCACTTTTGTCGCACCATGCGACAAAACATATATTTTGCTCTGCGACAAAATGAACTCTAACATCATTCTTGTCGCAGCTGCGATAAAGATGATATCAAACGTCATTTTTGTCGTAAAAAAATACTGATTTTTCCAGGACTGATTGACGATGCTTACGTGCCGAAAACTGAAACAGAATAACCGTGCAGAAGTGCCCTGACAGCTGACATATGAGGAGTATCCATTTTTGAAACCTGATACAGAATACCTAGGCAAAAATAACCTGACAACTATTATTAGACGGAGACAGAATAACTAATAATATAAGCTCACATCGCTAGGCACCTAGGCCTGTAGGCCATCAGAAATCGGATCGTTCGATCATTGCATCGTTCCTTTATATCTTATTACAAAGAATACAAACAGTGAACGCTGACTGAACCATGGCCATGAACATAACCGACGCTGACATTGGCATCGTCCCGCTCTGCCATTCGCGGTTTGGTAGTAAGGCACGGAAGGTAATTTGCTTTGGTCCTAAAGCATAAAGAGCAGAGGCGAATATAAAGAAATAATCAAAGTAATAATTTGATACCCACGTACGAGCCATATGCATGGATCATGGTATCAATCAGATGTGTTCGCGTCAGTGAATGGCGGTACGAGCGAGCGATCGATAAAATCTGAGGTAGGATATATGAGATCGGTAAAAAGATTTTGAAATTTTCCAGCACCATAAAATTTGAGGGACAGCCCTGCCAGTGTGGCATGTCGAGATGTCACCTTTTTTCAGGAAAACCGGTTTCGCTCCTATAAGTATGGCCGTCTTCGCGCAGTGATTCAGCCGTCACATATTAATTTCCTATATACACGTTGTATATAATTTTCGTAAACCTTTAACTATTGCGTTTTTTTTCCATTTTTAACATGATTCGACGATCAGATTCGCACGATACGAAGATAATGGACGATCCATAATGCACACGCGCCATGCGCTCAGGGACTCGTTGGAGGAATCTCTTCAGTGACCGCTTCAGGCTTTTCGATTGGTCATAATGCACACTCGTAATAGGCTATGCGATTTTTTCTGTTCATATTTTCGGAAATCTGAGCGCACCATGTGGAAGCCCGCGGAAAGCGCTACAAAGTTACTTGCTCGAAATCTAAATTTAGAGCAGTAACGGCTAAGTACGAAGTCCTTGCCCAAATCAAGAATTTGAGCAAGTAACTTTATAGCGCTCTCCGCGGCCTTCCACGTGGTGTGCTCGGATTTTTGAAATTATGAACAGGAAAAATCGCATAGCATATAACGGTTCGTTTCTTAGATATGTATTTGTTAATGAAGTCACTCGAGAACCACACGTGACTCTTATCGGTAGATCGGAATAGCTTCCGGCGCGATACAGTGTCAATACACCTCATATTTTTGACGCGCGATACAGTGTTAAGGAGTCTCCGGCTGAATTACTGCGGACAGACGGCCATATATGAGGGAAACGAAATGTGAAACAGCATCTTTAAAAAAAAAAGGTTCTAATTTTTCCGGGAGCAAATTTTGATTGTTTCCGGAACAATTGACTTTTGATTTTCCCCGTAACAATGAATTTTGGCTACGGGCACGCATATTTAGGGTTTAGTGAGAGTTTATGGGGTTTATTCTGGGAGAGGGGGACTGTCGGAACCGACGGCACGTCGTATGGGGTGACATCGCCGTCGGTTCCGTAGGCACCAGCACAGAGATGCCTTGGTGAAGCACTTAATATATATATATATATATATAGCCACGTGCATAACTTGTCTATTTGGTATTGCGCTCCCTCTGCGTGTGAGGGAGGCGCTTGCAAGTGTAGAGTAAAGGTCTGCGCATCCGTTGCATCGGCTGCTGTTCATTGTAAGGCTGAAAATGTCGATCACGAGATGTAACAGGCTGCCGTATGTTTATGTTGTGAAAACGCATATAAACTAGTTTGTGGTATATGCACTCTTGTTGTAGAACTAGAGTTGAATAGGTTACTTTTTGGTATTATTATTGTTGATAACAATATTTTAACGTTATGACGAATAGCATAGCCTGTGATCCAAATTGTGGTTTCACCACTCCCAGGACTTTTTGTCGTACCTATAGCGTTTGTATATACATATTTAATAACTTCAGCACTCACACAATACCAATTAGCACGCATCCAACAAGTCCAGGGTGCCTGCGCGCTCAAACCCTATGCTACAAGTCCTACACCCCCCTGAGTTTTGCATGTGGTGCATACCAAATGCATTCGAATGAGTCAAAATGGACCGTGCCATCGTTTTCGGAAACATCGAAATAGGTAATATAGCCATTGGTATTGATAGCATACTTTGGAGAACTCACCGAATAAAACCCAAACCCCTAGATGGTCATTTCGACCCCCCCGTGGGTGTCATGTGTTGTTGCTAGGTTGGTGATAACTCATAACGCGTTAAAACGTGCACCCGCCCTTTTGGCGTTATAACGCGTGTTAAAACGTGCACTCTGTCCCCCATACTTAAGCCTCCCGAACGGAACGGAATCAGGAATCAGGAATCGGGAATGGCGCGATGCTCTCGACGGCTGTAAAATGGGACAGTCGAGACACTGGTAAATAATCTACAGTTTACACAGTTCGTGTGTTCGATTGCTCGACTGCTCATCATTCATCTCTAAGACACCTCCCCCGACTTAGCTTGTTAACTCTTAGGGCTCTATAAATAGTGATGGGATTTTTCAATGTTTGAGATGGGTTGAGCGTAATCCATCGCGGCGAAAATGGTATCCGCAGCGGGACTCGAACCCATGACCTCCTGTTTGAATCACAGTCGCTCTACCAACTGAGCTACGCGGGTTGATGATGACATCGACCCGCATTCAGTGGTACTCATTCAGTGTCTGATGCAATTACGGATCGCGATTCGGCAGCTTCGATGACGCACCAACATCTGATGACTGCTCGCGATCCCTAACATATCTCCCCACTTGAAATCAGATCGTCACCTGACGATTCGTGTTCCAGTTCGTATCACAGTTCGGTCGATGTGATGACGTGGCAGCTTACTATGAGCCGAATTGCAGTTCTCGGGGTGCAGCCCATCGCACCGAAGGTGCACCGCAGTTCTTGGAATGCAGCCCGAATCCACGTCATCAGCGCGGGTCACATCGTGCCCATGCATACGCGATCGTAGCGCAGGTCACATCGCCGTGCCCGAGCATACGCGATCTTAGCGTAGGTCACATCGTGTGCCTTATGCTGTTACATCTGACACCGAATCTGGGAGCCGTTTTACGAGAATACCAATCTTAGGGCTCTATAAATAGTGATGGGATTTTTCATTGTTTGAGATGGGTCGAGCGTAATCCATCGCGGCGAAAATGGTATCCGCGACGGGACTCGAACCCATGATGACCTCTTGATTGAATCACAGTCGCTCCTACCAACTGAGCTACGCGGGTTGATGATGGCATCGACCCGCATTCAGTGGTACTCATTCAGTTTCTGATATAATTACGGATCGCGATTCGGCAGCTTCGATGACGCACCAACATCTGATGACTGCTCGCGATCCCTAACATTAACTGCCTATATAGACAAAGATGGTGAGACCGGCCGCACCCGTGAAAGAGACTGCCACAAAGTTCGTGTGGTGGTTCGTTCGTGTATTCAAAGACGGCAAGGATTTCCCGCTGCTATAGATCCTGGAGCTAACGGGAATAGCAAGCAACACTGCCGAAGGATGCCTATTTTGCGGCAGCACTTTTGCTGCTCAAACTCCTCGCATCGCATCGTTATATGATAACGTAAGTGATATATCATATATGAAGTCTAGTATGAACGTGACGCAACTGAGTGTAGACTGTAGAGGATGCCCAGTGTTAACCCCT